CCCAGCGTAATTGTTGTCTTCAGAATTGCCCTGCACTTCTTTCCCATTTTTTGAAATTGCGTAAGGACCACATCTGCAGGTCTCTGCTGTCACTGCCGTAAATTAGAATGAAGACCAAATCGTGTGCGTGGATGAGAAGTGTGTTGCCCATGAAAGTTGTACCAATCTTGATGAACACATTGATTCCGTCGAAGCACCGATACTTTGTGTGAAGCTCAAAAAACCGTGAAGAAGAAAGTGTATCCCGGAACATTCTCAGAAACTGTAACGGGGATCCCGCTTGCTGCCATGCTGCCATGTATGATGGAATATTTGCGCCTACACCGCTCACATCATGGCAGGATCTTCATACCGATGGACAACGCTCGCTCACACCATTCTTTCATAGCCAAGAAAGAAATGGCCGCCTTAAATGCTCCACAGTCTCATGAAAGCACTCACAACCTTGAAATTAGAAGAATGATCCGCTCGTTTCATTCGTTTCACAAACGTGCAAAAATTACTTTTACGGGTTTGGTGCCAGCGGAAGCTCTCCGGTTAGGGAGACGAATTTTTTTCGAAAAATGCCTCAAGAACAAGGGCCTAACGAACTTCGAGGCAAGAGAGGCTCGCCTAGCTTTTGCCCCTAAGCGTCCGGGCGGTATCAAAGGCAACTGGTAGACGTACTACTTCGTGACGAATAGAAGTTCTGTGTCTTCGGAAGTAATGGCCTGAAGTGTGAGACGTGCTTTGAAGAAGGACGCTGGCTCGAATTCCTTAATCTCGATGTCAGGTTCAATGGAGGGATACGTCCCTCAGATCTAAAAAATAGACCGCCCACAATTAAAGATAGTCAGGAACTGCTCTGTAGCTTGCTCGTTAGAGCTTGGCAAAATGATTTCCCAGACGACTATGATTTGAGGAGTGTCTCTCCTCGATTCCGGCTTCTTGAGCTCGGCTGATATCGCTGCCATGGAGCAAATAGGACATTGTATGGGCCATAACTCAGTTAATATTTTCCCCTGCTCAAAAGATAGTGTACTATATGTACTAGCATCATTGTACAATTTATGTAGCTCTAGAATGAAATTCTAGTTACTCATCTGTATTCTAGAGATGATCCAACCATTTTATGTGGAGTTTTTGAAATAAATTTTGAGGAGTCATTCTGAAGGAAAAACATATTTTTCAGCTTCTATTTTCAATTCCTTCAATTTTTTAGTTCAGACATCGTGTTTCCTAGATGATGTTGTGTCTGCTATGAAAATCTGATACAAATTTAATATTCAGAAGTCACGCTAGCTTGCTAATGGAAGAAGTGAAAATATCTCAATTTCCATCGCTGCTATTCAAACGCATATGCTATCTATGGGAAATATTATCTACCATAAAATTGTGAAAGCACAAAACCTAAAAATTCCGTGAGATGTAGCCAGCATGGATTTCAGAGGGAGCGGGTGCTGGTCGTGGCGAAGTAAGAGAAAGAAGGTCGTTTTTGCTTTTTCTTGAAAACTTAAATAGTTCCAAAGGCACTGTCACTTAGCCGAAGTCGATAAAATCGCCGCTTCTCTATTCATACTGTTGCGTCGACGAACAATTTCGCGTATTGGCAGTGTAGCGAGCTTGTATCTGGAAAACTAATAAACAGCTATGGTTAGTGAGGGAGAAAGGTTATCCTTTTGTAGAATGATCAAGGTTCGTGTGATGCTGGGGGAGGAAGAGAGGAAGGGCGGTGTCGGATTTTCGTGGTGAACGCGTCAGTTGATGGGCCCTACTGGCGTCCACTCTCCTGCAGGGATCGTTAAATTTCTCGTGTCTTCGTGTTGTCACGATCAACCCTTACGAAAAATTGCCCGCCTCTCGATGGGTGGATACTTCATCCGAACATGCACTTGTCCCTCGAACAGAGTGCCGGGTTCAGACGTAATTCAGTGGATCTCGGGCGTGGAAACACTTTCGAACGCTACCCCTGAGGGAGTGCAGCTCAGGCACGTACCGTACCATCGCAATAGCCTCCATAACATTAGCTAAAAGTGAGATACCATCCTGCCACGATTTTGCCATTCAGGAGCGATGCAGCATTTGTAGTTTGTACATATATGTGCCAGAGGTTTCTCCGCAGAATAAATCGTCGGCGTGTTCTGCTATGCCACTACTGTAAACGAGCGCGAAAAGCCAACACCTCAGCAGTACCGTGCGTTCATCTTCTACTATTAGGTTGTCCCATAATTAGTGAATCACTTTGGGTATTTTTGAATTCAAATTTTTTTCTTTTTTATGTGGAGTCTTTGCTCATCCAAACATACACCTCTGTCATCTACAATGTATTGCCTATACAAGGAAATTTAGTCGCTGTCTTATCTCTAGAATTCCAGGAGCTATTGATCGAAGAAAGATCGGAAGTCGAGTTTGAGGTCATGTCACTTAGCGTAAAATTTCTTCCTGGGGAAGAGCGCTAGAGGTCAGACTGAGTTGTCTTTTGTTGGCACGAGGATAGGGCCACACAGAGGAGGTGAAAGAACTGCTAGCCTGAGAGTCTCCAATTTTTTATGAATATTCTCCGCAAGGTGGGGTCGAACGACCTCAGGAAAAAAGCAGACTTTGTCTTGCTTTACTTTCAAATTGAACGCGTCGCCATTACGCTGTAGATGTTGATCTTCTTCAGTGACCCTAGTATTACTGGGCGGCGGTTCCCAGCGCAGGTCACTCTCGTGCTCCACCAATATCTCGGAAGGGTCGGACTAGAAGGAGGTTCGGCTTTTGCTGTCAGAACTCCCGAATCCTTCATGCTAGGCTACTGCTTTTGGAGATTTGCTAGTACACTCACCCAGTCCAGAACCCTGGTGAATATGCTGGATGATCACTGTAAGGAACTAAGGGAGATCAGAAGGAACATGATGATGTCAGATCGTGTGTGGAGCTGTTTCGGGCTCAGAGCATACAAGATACAAACTAAATATTTTAAAATCTTTACAACTCTACGTAGATGTCTACATTCCATCATTTTAACAAGTCGGACATGCTCTAGCAAATGGCGACTAGTTTGTCCAGATCCACCCTCAGTGGCGCTGGGTACAGCAGTGAGATTGCCAGTTGAGGGGTAGTTGGAGTGTGGGTCATCTTCAACTAAAAAAGCCAACCTCTCGATAGAGTGAACTACAAGCAGACCGTGGATTGAGGGAGCGTGCCCTCGCCTATCTGCTGGTTGATTCTCTATGTTGTTGGGCGTTTGAAAGATCCTAATCAGAAGTGATTAAGAAGGGAGCTCAAAAATAGGTTCCAGAAAAATTGAAGTATCAGCCACGGAAGGCAGCATGTAAATGGGCTGAGTAATTGCTCAGGTAGGATAATGTGGATGCTACTTCGCAAAACATGTTTCACGCCTTCACCATTTTTCTTGGATTTTTAATAACAATAAATGTAAAGTGATTCACTAATTATGGGACAACCTAATATTACTTCACTGCATGGTCCTCTCCAACTACCGTTCATCCGCTAACCTATACTTCACAGTCTTCTTGTCTTTATAGAGCTGACGTAGGTAATATCCTGTATATCAATCGCAAACCCGGCACTATTTACCCTTTACTGCCCCACTCCTCAAGAACTGAGCCGGATTTTGATCGAAATTCGTCCATGACTGTGGATTTTGCTAGAAACTTGCCTTCAGGGGTAATTTGACCCGTAGATCACGAATATAATACCGGTTTAGAGCGAAAACGCTTGGCGCCCGCGCCACAGGCGCCGGCGCTATCACAACAGTTTTGCGCGGGCGCTCGTAGCGCAGGCTACAGGTTCACTCGTAACAAACTGATGTGATAATCATATTCTACGGGTCAAAATACCTCTGAGGACAACTTTCCAGCGAATTTGGGGATCCGAGATGTTCTGGCGCCTTTTGGCGCCGGCGCTTCTGACGCGAGCGCCAGGCGTTCTAGCGGTAAACAAATGTGATATTCAAACTTGGGTAATTATACTTTATTTAATGATTTTAATGAATTACATAACCAAATACTCAAATAAGGCATATACAAAGCTTCCAGCGATAAATTTTCACCTAAAATCTACCTTTTTTCTGCTGCCGCTTCTATAGTGCAGGTACTAAGCGCCTTATAGTGCAGTAGTAGTGCACTTAGACTTTTAATTTATAGAGACAAAAAAAGGCCGAAGCGGGAAAAAGTAGGAATGAAAAATGAGTCACCTACGAGCTTCTCCGCCCCGCTTATATGCAGGCACCGCGCAAGAATTTTCAACATCTCGGAAGGCTTCCTACCCGATAAGCGCCTACGACATAGAGAAAGAGTACAGCAATCTTTAGAAGCAGAATAAGAATGTAACAGCAGATGGATATAGATGAGCTTATGCCACAACATCGAGAAAACGACATGGGAAGTTGTACAGTTCGATCAGAGAACGTACAATATCAAGTGAAATACTGAATATGTTCAGTATATCTTCGCTTGTGCTGCTATCCTGAAGGATCTAATCGAAGAATAGCGTTGATTGACAATTCCTGACTTGACTTGATTTTGACAAATACGAAATTGTGGGTTGTGGAGAACAAGTCATACTACTCGTAAGGATGAGTCTAGTCTATAAGCTGCTACTGAGCGGATTCCCTCTCCAGCCATAACCCTGATACACAAAACTTTTACTCACTTGTGGTTGAATCAAATACGCCACTCTCTCCTTGGTACTATTTCACACAAAAGTACTACCTCAGAACGGGAGCTGTTCTTCTATTCATTATAGAGGGAGTGAGGGTACTGCGGTAAAAGTAACTCAGCGGTTTCATGGGAGTCCACGCCGAATGCTTTGGATCGCGCTCGGACCTTTTAGCTTTAAAGGAATCCTCCACGAAAAAGCTCCGCCCTCATTACCACAGAAACGATACCTTCAAAGGAATCTTCCACGGAAAGAGTGATCATTTTGTCTTGTGTGTAGGATTAGTATTATCGAAACTAACGCTTATGTTCCGTTCTTTTTGCTATGCTCATGAGGCTAGGGATCGTTTCTGTGTTAAATGTAGCGGAGCTTTTTCCGCAGAAGATTCCTTCAAGCAAATTTTTAAACGGAAAGTTTACCAATAATCTCATCAGTTTCAGGTCTATTCCTTGGTATTCTTCGAGAAGATTTGCTTATCTTGTCGCTTGTACTAACGGTAGTCGGATTGCTTGGCATGCTATTATTTGCAATCACATGGCAGATACGACCTAAGGTAAAGGTTTTGAAAATATTTCACCTAATCGTAATCATATCTTATGCTGCGCAATTCATTAAGAACTAACACATGAGCTTTTTGAAGTGTATCTCAGTATATCTGTATCTACCACTTTACTTGTGTAACCTGTAGGGTAAAGTCCGCTGAGATCCTTCTGCGATCCAAAGTATAGTTTCGCATTCAATCCCATATCATTCATTTTCCTTTTTTAGATAATACATCGGCCGATATACTTCGTCAAGCACTGGAAAGAAGAAAAAGTTGTTAAAGATAACACGATCAATCCGGATACAACTGAAGCAGTAATGAAGAACATCCGAGGAATTCCATTTCTTATACAGGTGAGGTGAACTGGGTGCAGTTCGTTCCCAATTTCGGATTCCCGACAGGAGGCCCGTCGTTCGGCGAGAAGGCAGAGACGCAGACGGGTCAGCGGACGAGTCGCAGCGCGTACTGCAGTGATTTCGCGTCAAGTTAAATAGAATGTACTCTAGTGTCCCACATCACACAGCACGCGCTGCGACTCGTCCGTGAACCCGCCTGCGTCTCTGTCTTCCCGCCGCGCGACGGGCATCCTGTAGGATATCCTCCAATTTCATATCCTCAGTACAGGGGTGCGAGGTGTGTTTTCGTGACGCCATTTCTCCGATTCTAGCGTATACAATAATGGGAGTGGTAGCGAGCATCCCTTGAGAGGAATCGGCTGCTTTTCTTGTAACGCATCGGTTATCTCAACCACGACGCAAAAAAAACTTAAAGGCATGCCCCAGGATCACATTGGTGTGGCTCTTGCACACGAATGCGAATGTATTGGTGCAAGTGGGCCGGCAGTAAAGAAAAAAGGAAAAGAATCCGTCGAAAACGCTTAGGTTAAGGGCTCACTCACCTTCCTAATCGGCTGTGCTAAGGGAATGAGAGACTAAGCGCGGAGAGGAGAGTATGGGCGAGAGAGCTACAGATGAGAGATCGCCAGACAACAGCCTGATAAGAGAAAAGTCTGCAGCTTGGGCAGCTTACTTTTGCAAGGCCCATACGCTCTTATCGGTTGGTTTCCGTGCACGAGAACGCCACATTTGTGATTGTCCTCTTAGGGAATCTTTGACTACAGATCATAGAAAGCGTCCGCACGATCCTTGAAGAAATGATTAACATACCCTTATCAAAATCTGGCTAATCATGCCGGTCTTCTTATGGCAAATTTCCTCACTTTTCAGCAGATTTCGCCTTCTTTGAGTCCGAGAGCGGTGTTTCTTATCGCCATCTCCTAGGGAAGAGATATTGATAACAACCTAACAGTTCCACCAAATTAGAATGAAGTTCAGCCGAGAAACTCGAGGTGACTTTAGAGAGTTAGTTTCTATCGCCCCAAGTAGCTTAACGAGACGGCACTCCCGAACGGTCCGTTGACGTTTACTCAAGAAATCATCACGGAGAACGAATTAGCTTCAGATTGAGCAGCAGGAAGAGAGCGACATAGGGAGAATACAAAAACATCGCGAAGGGAGGAAGCGAAGAATGTTCGGGTTCTGATCTGATAATCGTCTTTCTAAAACAGATTGCATGCCTTACCGCTCAGAATTTGAACTCTATGCGCAGAGCGAGGTCACGTGATCATGTTGACCCGAGTCTCCCCACGCGCAGTGGAGAGGGCGGTTTTTGAAGGATTGTCAAGCCCTTCTGTAGAGGGAAATCCCGAGCGACTTCGATGATTTCGAACATTGCCTAAGGTCCATTTCCAGGGAACCTTCTACCTATGCCAAGGAAGATTGAAAGGGAGCAAGCGAACATCAGAACCAAAGGAAAGCCAAGGATCCGAGCTCATTACGAGAACTTGACCACGAAATAAATGAAGTATAGTGTTTAACGATAGTGGATCCAGTGGTGTATACAGGTCACGCATAGGAGTATTTTTTGGTGACCCCCACTCAAGGAACTCGACGATTATCGGCTGATACATATGATACAGCTGACAGAGAGGCAAGATAGACAGAGAGACACTGACATGCAAACACCAGACAGACCTGACGAAAGACAGACAGACAACAGAACAGAGACAGACCGACAAGACGATCAGAAGACGACGAAGACGACAGACAGAAACAGACAGACAAGGGGTAGAGCAGGAACAAGCCAGCAAATAGACAGTGAAAAAATCGGCTGTGCTAAGGGAATGAGAGACTAAGCGCGGAGAGAAGAGTATGGGGCGAGAGAGCGCTACAGATGAGAGATCGCCAGACAACAGTCTGATAAGAGAAAAAGTCTGCAGCTTGGGCAGCTTACTTTGCAAGGCCCAGCGCTCTTATCGGTTGGTTTCCGTGCACGAGAACGCCACATTTACGATTGCTCTATCAGGAAATCTGTACAGATCATAGGAAAAGCGTTCCGCCGCATCCTTGTACGACTCGCTCTCACACTCACTCTCTCACACTGGGTCATAATTTCATGGCGCTTCGTGACGGGATATTGCAAATTCCTCTCGCGCTTTTCAGCGATTCGCCTTCTTGAGTCTGAGGAGCTGGTGATTCTGTCGCCCATCTCTTAGGAACGAGATATATGATAAACGCCTAGCATTTTCACATTCAGAATGTGAAGTTCGGCCTGAGTAAACTCTAGGTTACTTTTAGAGGAGATTCAGGTTTTCTATGCGCCGAAGTAGCTTAACGATACGTGCCACTACCACCGCAATCACGGTCAGTTGACGGTTTTTACCAAGATATAATTTCACGGAGGTAACGAATTGAGCTTCAGATTTTAAAGCAGGCAGCGTTATGAGGAGCGACATGGCGAGAATACAAAAACGATCGCCGAAGGGAGGAAGCGTAAATGTCGGTGGTTCGATCGATCGTCCTCGCTCTCGGCTACAGAGCTTGCTTAATACCTTATCTGCTCAGATTTGGGGACCTATTGCAGGCAGACGCGGTCACGTGATCGTGTTGACCTCGCGAGCTTCTCCCACGCGCGCAGTTGGAGTGTGGGCGGTTTTTGGAAGGATGGCTCAAGGCCTTCCGTAAGGAAATCCCGAGCGACTTCGATGATTTCGAACATTGCCTAAGGTCCATTTCCAGGGAACCTTCTACTATGCCAAGGAAGATTGAAAGGGAGCAAGCGAACATCAGAACCAAAGGAAAGCCAAGGATCCGAGCTCATTACGAGAACTTGACCACGAAATAAATGAAGTAATTAGGGTTTAACGATAGTGAATCCAGTTGGTGTATACAGCACCGCATAGGAAGTATTTGTTGCGTGACCCAACGACAACTTCAAGGATCCTCGACTGGCATTATATCGGCTGGCATTAAATATTGATACAGCAGACAGAGACAGACAGACAGACAGACAGACAGACAGACAGACAGACAGACAGACAGACAGACAGACAGACAGACAGACAGACAGACAGACAGACAGACAGACAGACAGACAGACAGACAGACAGACAGACAGACAGACAGACAGACAGACAGACAGACAGACAGACAGACAGACAGACAGACAGAGAGACAGACAGGAAACAGCCAGACAGAATAGACAAGGAGACAGATAGATAGACAGGCAAACAGGAAAGCAAAAAGTTTGCCCAACTGACTGGCTGAAAGAGGTAGCGCTTGAAAACAATGAGATATATCAGAGTTTGATCTCTTGTTATACTTCTGAATAACGTCTCGAATTTAAAATTATTCATTTTTCCAATTCGTCCTAGCATGCAGTTAGTCCGAGCAAATAAAATATCAGTGCTGATGTTCATAGGTTGCTTCTCAGAAGCAAAAAAAAATTAAATTTGGAAAAGTTTGGAAATGCAGCAGGGAATGTAAATTAATGTTACAGGCTATTCAGTATTCTATGGAGGCCACATATTATCGTGATGTATTGAGCGAAATGGGAGAAGGCGTAGTTCGTACTTCAGTAATTCACACAGCGCCAGGTTGTACAAGCATTCTCGACTCAGAAAGTGAAGACGAGAAGGAGGAGGTGAAAATCACGCCCAGGTACGTCAACATCTTTGGATACCCTTCACAATATCACATCAATTTAAGCTATGGCACAAATTTATGTTTTCATTCAGGAATTCTGCAGAAGAGCAGTGGCTTCCTTTCGGCGAGAGTTGGCGGAATGAGCAACTTCGCTTGTCCCTTGAACGAGGAAGCAGCAATTTACTTGTGAGTGAGCGGTTTGAAATTTTTCAATACCCATTTTTATTTTAATTACGGCATATGCGCAGTGCACTGAACTAGGTCACAGAGCCAGCATTACTAAGTATGAAAATAATGGGTAGGGGCTTTCCATCCAATCGATTACCCACACGTAGTTACTTGTCATCCCTTGTAAAAGATACTGGTCTAAAATAAGTGAGCGGGTGAGGAGATGGGGGTCCCGATCTTTCTGGGCTACGCAACAAACCGAAAATATGCCATTCCAGACCCAAGTGGGTCGTTGTAGAGAGCGCCACTTATTGACCTGCACTCCTGATTCGTCTGCAAAAAAATTACCACATTGAACATATTGGTGGTGGCTATGGGAAAATAGGAAGGAGTCGTGGGAGGTTACCTCCGGGTGCCTGAGGGAAGACCGACTGACAGCAAGGCTTTTTACTAAAGGAATCTTCAGCAGTCAGAACGCAGTCGATACGAAGAATTTCTTGCATTTAGTTCAGCGCTGGAATATTTTTGAGGCCGCAAAGAGGACCTTGTTCTTAGAGTTGTGCAAGCACCTCTACTGCTCCTTTCAAACCGTTAGCTACCTCTTCCGATACATGTCGTGTGGGGAGCAACTGACATTAAGGGTATTCACGCTCAGCGTTCAACAGTGATTCGATCACTTCCGGTTTGGAGTCATGTATCCGAAAATACAGGTTCCCACCTCCCACGCTTGCCATTCAAATCGCCCTGCCCCTCCTTCCTCTCCATCCTCCGAATTGGCTATCCTCCCTGATTCCTTAATTTACGCTGACCTCTTCACTAGCATTTCGCTAAGGGAGAGCATAGACAAGCAGCACACGTCCTCGCCAGAGGCCCCTCCCCTCATCGCACCCTTGTTTTGCTACTTTTCAATTTCGAGTTTCGAAAACGCACCTTGTGGCAGAAGTTGCACGTCAGACAGATCGCGCCTGACGAATCGCCCATGTACCATACGGCGAAAAAACCTCAAAAACTTGCG